TCACTCAAGAGGTGGATGCAGGAGGATCCAAATTTTGAGACCAGTCTGGACACAAAAGTATACTCTCAAAGTGTGGGGGACACTATATAGCTCAGTCAATAAAGTGCCTGCCACACAAACATGAGGACCTAACTTGGAGTCCCTAGGACCAACATAAAAGCCAAGCATCCCACCCACATATCTGGGGGGAGGGGGAAATATAAGAATTAGGCGGATCCTGGGAGCTCATTGACCAGTCAGCCTAGCCATATGGATAAGCTCCAGGTTTAATTTTGTCTCAAAAAGTAAGGCAGAAGGGGCTGGAGAGATGGCTCAGCAGTTAAGAGCACTGGCTGCTCTTTCAAGGTACCTGGATTTAATTCCTAGCACCCAAATAGAGGCTCAAGCTGTAACTCCAGACCCAGCGAACCTGACTCCCTCTTCTAACCTTTAGGGCACCAGGCACACACATGATGCACAGATACACATGCAGGCAAAACACCCCTGTTCATAAAATAAAAAATGTTTAAATACATAAATGTGGAGAAACACAACTGAAAAAGACAATGTCAACCCTCTGGCTTCCACATGCATACACACTGGTAGGACACATGCATGTCCCACACATACACAATTTAAAAAACCTAAAATAATAACAATACAATAAAACAATTTTGTGCAATCACCCAATAAATCCTTATCTTTCTCCAGGTCTGACCTATGACTCCAAATACCTCTAGATTCAATCTCTGATTAGTTCTCAAGTACGTTAGTGCTGCTGTCCTTCTGGTCTTTTCTAGGCAATATTTCTATAGATTTCTATTTCTACTGTTGACTTTGTCACACTGATTTTGTGTATGTGTGTTCATGTGTGTAGTGTGTATTCTGTGCACATGTGTTCACATGTGTGGGGGCACATGTATGTGCATGTGTGTGTAGGCCCAAAGTTAACACTGGGTGTCGTCCTTGATCATTCTTATTTACTGAGTTAGGGTCTCATCCTGGACCCAGAGCTCACCAATTCTGCCTACTGTAGCTACTAGTGAGCTTGCCCAGTGGATCCCCTGTCTCTGTCTCCAGGGTGCTAGAATTATAGCAGCCATCATGCCTGCTCAGCTTCTACATAGGATGTGGGGATCTGAATTCTGGTTTGTGATTGTATAGCAAGCACTTTATTCTCTAAACCATCTCTCCACTTGTCATATTGCTTTAATATTATGTCTAGAGGGAGCTGGAGAGATGGCTCAGTGGTTAAGAGCATTGCCTGCTCTTCCAAAGGTCCTGAGTTCAATTTCCGGCAACCACATGATGGTTCACAACCACCTGTAATGAGGTGCCCTCTTCTGGCCTGCAGACATACACACAGAAAGAATATTGTATACATAATAAATAAATAAATATTAAAAAAATATGTTTAGCTATCTGATCTGCCAGGTCAGAAGTTCCTACATGAAGGAATCACACCTGCACTCCAAGCATATACACTAACTGTACTATTAAAAAGCTGGTCCTACAAAGATGCTTGCTAAATGAACTAGCACTAAGAATATATTATATCTAATGATTAAGAGACTGAGTTAGCTGGGCACACGCCTTTAATCCAAGCATTTGGAAGGCAGGGGAAGGTGGATTTCAGTGAGTTCAAGGTCAGCTTAGTCTACAAAGTGAGTTTCAGGCCACCCAGGTCTCGAAAAAGTTTCAGGCCATGGTCTCGAAAAACCAGAGAAAGAGAGAGAGACTGAGTTAAACTGGATGTGGTGGCACAGGCCATGGTCGCGAAAAACCAGAGAAAGAGAGAGAGACTGAGTTAAACTGGATGTGGTGGCACTCACCTTTAATCCCAGCACTCAGCAGATCTCTGTGAGTTCCAGGCCAGCCAGGGCTAGTAAGATCCTGTCTCAAAAACCACACACACACACACACACACACACACACACACACACACACACACACAGAGGAATTGAGTCAAAACTGAAAAAGAGTCCCTGTGACAATACATTAAGCTTTTCTTCAAAATCAAAACATTGGGCTGAGGATGTGTTAGAGGTAGTATATTTGCCTAGCATGTGCAAGGCTGTGGGTTCAATTGTCAACCTGGCAAAGAGATTATGAAATAAATGAAAGAATAAAGTAAACAGATCATTCCAGGCTGGAGAAATAGCTCAGCTGGTAATGACACTTGTCACCAAGGCTGACAATCAGAGTTCCATCCCTGGGACCCACGTGGTGGAAGAATAAAACTGGCTGCCTCAAGTTGTCCTGACTTCCACACAGGTGATATGGCATAAACCTGCCTGCATATTAACACAAACACATGCACAAATGAAAAGTGTAAATTTTTTAATTAAAAAAAGGGGGGGTCATTCCATCCCCAGAATTTGGTGAATTCTGGTGAAGCTCTAGGCTGAAAAAAAGACTTAGCTGAACCTATTTAAATTTAATCCCAGTAACTCTGGCTCAATCCTGAAATTATTTAATACTGATTCTCAGTAAAAAGCTGACTCTAAAGCAAGGGCAATCTAGTTTAGTTTAGAATTTTCTGGGATAGCCTAGAAGAGATCAACAACCACAGTGCCAGCCCAGCACTCAAGTAATTTTGGAAACAAAACATAAAGTGACTATTTGCTGCCTTGACTAAAACGTGGCACTACTGGCAAGTGTGTCCTGAGTAGTGCAGCTTGTGTTCTTTTCACTTGTACCTGTCGCCTTGCCCTTCCAAGCTACCCTGGATTCCAACACTGACCTTGGAACAGCCACTTGTCACAATGCTTTGCCCTGTGGGAACCTGATCCGAGCACAGGATTCTGCAGCCAGCTTGGCACTTGCACAGGTGCCTAGAAGGGTCCACACTAGTATCACCTGTGCAGTGATGGAACCCTTTGACTTAGAATCAAGAAGCAAGGGTGGTATGTCTTGAAACTCTGTGACAAGAATGACCCAGAAAAGCTCTCAGTAAATTCACATTTATGAAGGACTTGGACTCAGACAGTTTGGACCAAGTAAAGGTTATTATGTGGTCATGGAAGATAAATTTGGATCTGAAATTCCTGATATAGATGCAGAGAAGTTACTTTGTCCACAAGAAATTGCAGATTATATTGCAGATAAGCAAGATATATATGAATAAAGCGTCACAGCCTTCTTCCTCATGGAGAGTTCTAAGAAACTGGCAAGTGTCTGGAAGTGTGTGTTCCTCATGGAACACACAGTGGCATCATCACTGACTGACAGGAGCTCTGCTGGACTTGAATTTAAATTGTCTGAGTGTTTCACCCTTTGAAAAATAAATCTATTAGAAAAAAAAATGTGGTACAACCAGTTCAGATAGTCTTACTAAAAGGTATGGCTTTAAGCAATCAGTCACATGCAAATCATTAAGATAGACCCATCAGAACTCTAATGTACTAAACACTGACAGAACACATTGCCTGAATTCAATCAGACCCCTACTCTCCTTTTGGTTGTCATTTCTATTTTCACAAGATAGTACAATTCTCTGCAGGCAAATAACAGAAGAATTAAGGAGATAAGTTTCTAAACAGCCATTAGTGAGAAATATGATCCCTCCTTCCTCTAGCAAGGACGTTTCATAGACTCTAATCTCAGAAGGGAGGGCAGCATTAAGGAAGAAAAAAAGAAGTCTATGAAAAACTTCTTTTAGTCAAAAGGACAAGGAGTCCAAGCACTCCAAATCTACAAGGACAAGGAGACAGAAAAAAAAAAAAAGAAAGAAAAGAAGAAAAAGGAACATTTTGTCTGGGCTAGGAGATCCCTAGAACCTCTCCAGATTGCCCTAGATTCAGACCCACACAAATTTGGAATTTGAAGAGTAACTTAATTCTATAGTGCCACTAACTGAAATTACTTCACCATGAATATGATGGCTAGGTTCCATGGATTTGCTGATAATCAACATTCACATTTAGTGAAACTTGATATTACTCTTTGAGTCATAGGGTTTCGTAATTCTTCAGTCTGTCAGTTTTCCAACCTACATAATCTTAATGTGGTGTGTGTTTTGTTCTTGAGTGTTTTTGGTTTGGGTTTTTTGTTGTTGTTGATGGTGGTGGTTTGTTTTGCTCTTGTTTGTTTTTGAAACAAGGTCTCATTAAGTACCCTAGCCTGGCTTAGCCTTAAAATTTCCAATCTAAAATGTGGACATTTGGAGGTTACATATATGGGTCACTATATTCAACTCTGAACAATGCTTATGTCTCAGTAAAGTTTGAACTTTTAAAACTTAGGTAGAAAGGGGATAGGAATGTCGGTCGGCGGTAAAGTGTTAACCTAGCATGTTCAAGGCCCTGGGCTCCAACAACAAATAATAAAGATGCAGAGAAAAGAAGTTCACATCGGAAGAATGATAAAGGCAATGCTCTTACTGTTGCAGACCCACGTTAATGACTTAAAGCATTTACTTTCCTTCTTCGTGTAGCAAAGAGCAACTTAATGGGAATCCTGACTCCACCACTTACAGCTATCTATTTGAGTTTAGCTAATTGCTTAAAAGCCTGCAGCCTTGGATTCCAAAACTGTAAAACAGGGACACTAAATGGGAATAATGAATACCTATCTTGCAAATGAATTAAGAGTAAATGAATTAAGGTGCCCACTAGACTACACTAAAAGCTGCCGAGAAGAGAGGCTGTGCCTACACTGCTGTTGATTCTTGCTGACAAGGAAACAAACAGACCAGGAACGCAACGATATTTTTAAATGAATGAATAAACTATGTATTCCTATTTCTCTCATCAACACTAACTCTTCTCCCATAACTGTATTTCTTCCTTTTTCGTCTATCATTTTCTAACGCCTTCAAGGCATTCTATATTTTGTTCTTCTGAGTGTTTTTCTTTTCCTCACGGGCTATTAATAACTGTACAGCTCAAAGAAAGTAGCCCCGTTAGTAATTTCTCTAACACCGCCTACTTCCATCTATTAATGCAACGGGGGGTGGATGAGGCGGTCAGAACGTCGGTTTCAAAGCACTTCACCTACCTAACCCGGGCCACTGACTCGTGTCAACAACAATGAAGTCGCACAGTCGGCCCACCCCAGAACACAACTTTCAAGGCAACCGCCCCATCCCTGTCTACATCTCCGCAACCAGAAGACTCGCGCAGAGGGAATCCTCTGCTCTCAAAAGTTACGGAGTCCGTTACACTCGCGCCCCGCTGGAAAGCAGGGTGAGTCCCCAGAGTAGAACCGCCGAGTTGGACAGACGGGCGGGAATTCAGACCTGGTGGTGTGGACGAGGGTCACCTTTGGACCTGGCCAGGCTCGTCTGACCACTGCTCCAAGAAGGCAGCGCTCGTCCAAGCCCAGAGGAGCTAAGAGGTGCGGCCGGTACGAGGGCGGGGGGCAACAGGGTTGACAGGGAAGATCGCACGGCTGACGGGCCACACCGGGACTACGCCCACCCGCACCTCGCCACCGCGCCGACCCCACCTAGCCCAGTACCACTCCCCGAGGCACCGGCTCGCCCCCCGGCCCATAAATCAGTCAGCCGGTACTGCTCACTGGCTGGGTCCGCAGCTCCCTCCTGGTCATTGGCTACCCGCACGCAAAGCCCTCCTCCACAAGGGAACCTCGCGTACGGCGGTCCCCACAGCTGAGCACCCCCGCCCCGGCTCCCCGTAGCCCGCCGTCCCGGCAGCGCGGCCTCAGTCACTCACCGTGTAATAGGAGAGCAGCCCTGCATTGTAGTCCAACACGAACCAACGGTACTGCCAGCCCTTCATCACGTTAGTCCATTTGCTCAGCGGCCCTTCCACGATGGACGCCATCTTGGGAGCCGCCAATGACAACAAACGGCCTGACGTCAGTCGCCTATATGGCATTCGGCATGCAGAGGCGGGGCCTCCGAGACCCTAGGCGGGGCCGAGGCGTGAGTGGGCGGGGACATGGGCGGGGTCTCTGTGCAGCCGGTGGACCCACGCCCCTGGCGATCATAGTCAAGCGTGCTTTATTTCTTTCTTTCTCTCTTTGCCTATTGTGTGTAGGAAGGGATGTTATGGAGGCAAGCTGAGAAAGCAAGCGTCGATATTGAGATTATTTATCCAGGCCGTGCGTGACAGTGTTAGTAGTTCAAAGCCAGCTCAGCTAAGTGAGACTGTCTCAAAAAAAAAAAAGGAAAGGAAGGAAGGAAGGAAAAAGGAAGAAAAGAAAAACTGTAATCTTAGAAATTTGATAGTAGAAAAATCGAGGCGCAGCGGTAAGAGTATGTACTGCTCTTGCAGAGGATCCAAATTCAGATCCTAACACCCACATAAAGAGGTAGGGAAGCTCACAACTGCCTATAACTCCAGGCGGTCAGAACTGAGGGCACCTGTGCTCACCTGCAGATATCCCTACCCCACGGAGACACACACGCTCAAAGTATATATAATTAAATTTTTTTTTTACATTCAAGATCATCCTTGACTACATAGTAAGTTCAAGAATAGTATGGGCTACATAAAACATTTTAAAAGTTATTCACATAAGAATTTTATTTTTCTTTGAAACAGAGTCTCTTTGTAGTCCTGACTGTTCTGAAACTTGCTGGTCTTGAACTCACAGAGCTCCACCTTCCTCTGCCCCTGAAGTACTGCGATTAAAGGCGTGTGCCACCTAAAAATTTACTTTTCCTTCCTTCCTTCCTTCCTTCCCCTCTACCCCCCCACCCCCCCCACCCCCGAGACAGTTTCTCTTTGTGGCCCCAGATGTCCTGGAACTCACTCTGTAGATGAGGCTAGCCTCAAACTCAGAGATCTACCTCCCAAATGCTGGTATTAAAGGCATGTACCACCACTGCCTGGCACAAGAATTGTTTTTTTAAGAATGCAATGATGGCTCAGCAGTTAAGAGTACTGGCTGCTCTTCCAGGGGACCCAGGTTGGATTCCCAAATGGAGGCTAACCACTATTTGGAATTTCAGTTCCAGAGGATACAACATTCTCTTCTGGCCTCCATGATACCAGGCTCACATGTGGCACACAGACATACATGTAGGCAAAAAATGCCCATATACTTTTTTTAATCATAAAGGAAAAGAATGCAGTGATTGCCAAACACTCCACCCCTGGTATATTAATCAGGGTTCTCTAAAGTAACAGAACTTATAGAATGAATATATATATATACATATATGCATATATGTATATATACATATATAAAATAGATAGATAGATAGATAGATCAATCATGGGGATTTATTAGAATGACTTCTAAAGGATGTGGTTCAGCTAATCCAACAATGGCTGCCTATATACAGAAAGTCCAAGATCCAGTAATTGTTCAGTCCATGAGGCCAGATGTCTCAGCTGATTTTCAGTATATGCCAGAATCCTGAAAAGTAGGTCTAATATCAGCGAAGGAATAGGCTTCTTAGCAAGGTTGTGCAAAGCAGGCGAAAAAAAGAGAGAATTTTCCTCTTCCATGCCCTAGTATTGGCCTCTAGCAGAAGGTGTGGCCCAGATTAAAGATGGGTCTTCCCACTTCAGAGATCCCAATTAGAATTGGACCTTCCTACTTCAAATGATGCAATTAAGAAAAAAAAAAATCCCTCACAGATGTACCCAGTCATTGGATTTTAGTTAATTCCAGATGTAGCTGAGCTGACAACCAACATTAGCCTACCACCTGCCTTCACTTAAGGAGACTTGTAGGTCACTCCTCACACTTCAAAGGGCTTCACCCCCAATATTCATTTCTTTCCTTCCACAAACATTCACTTAATAACTATGGTCTGGGAATGTAGCTTGTAACATGATTGGGGCCGGGCCTGCTTGTTTGTGTTTTCTGTCCTGTCTGGCCCCCCAGCTGTTTAGTCCCAGAGAAAAATCACACAAAGGACTCCGCCCCCCCCCCCAGCTGTTTAGTCCCAGAGAAAAATCACACTGCGATCTCTATAAGTTCTAAAGCTGATTGGCCCTTTAGGTCAGGCTTCTTATTAGCTAACACTCACATCTTGATTAACCCATTTTTCTGATCTATATTAGTCATGTGGCTCAGTACCTTTTTCAGTGGGGCAGCTCACACCCTGCTGCTTCGGTGATCTGGGCAGGAGTGGGAGGAATCAACTTCCTCCTCCCCAGAATTCTCCTGCTCTCCTTGCATCATTTCCATTTCCTGTCTGGTTTTCCCGCCTACACCTCCTGCCTGGCCAATCAGAGTTTATTTAAACATGATTGACAGAATACAGACAATTCTCCCACACCAGTAGCTCAGTGGTAGAGTGCTTGCCTAGCGCATGTGAGTCCCTCAGTTCGATTCCCAGAATTTAAATGTAGGCTGTTTGGCCCTAGGCACTCTTCTAAGGCTTCAAGAACATTTGCAAATCCGAAGGTAGAGGGGAAGGCAGAAATAGACAACAAAATCCACGATGGAGCATAATAAACCTTGTTAAGTGCTATGGGTAAAAAAATAAAGGGAAGGGGAGTTTGGAGCTGCTATTTTAGATACCTGAATGAGCAGGCAACTTTTTCAAGGTTTTATAGATGTGTATATTGTATATTAAGTATATTACTCCTCATGCCCTCCTAACTCTCCCATTTCTTGTCCCTTCCCTCCCATTGGTCTCCTTTGTCCCTCTAGACAGTTTTACTTCTGTTTTCAGGTCATATAAGTATGAACAAGCAATTTTATGTATCTACATAAAATATAGATACCACAAATGAGAGATAATACCTACTATTTGCCTTTCTAAAGCTGGCTTAATTTGTTACTACGCCTGTCTCCAGTGGTATCCATTTTCCTGCAAATGACATGACTGCATTGTGTGTGCACTTTTGTCTCTGTGTACATGTATGTGTGCACATGTGCGTGCGCACAGTATTCATGCAGGACCAAAGGACAACCAGCAGTGTTGGGCCTCACTTTCCACCTTGTTTTAGACAGTGTCTCTTATTATTTACCGCTACGTGTACCAAGCTAGCTGGCCTAAGAGCTTCCGGGGATTCTCCTGACTGCAGACACCTGGACAGACACACGCTACCCCATCCACCTTTATGTGGTTTTGTGGATTGGAAATCAGGTCCTTCTCCTTGTGTAGCAAGCACTTGCCCTCTCAGTCATCTCCTCAGCCCTTATTCTTTTTCTTTTGACCGAAGCAAAGACCTGAAGAAAGTGAAGGAGTAAGCTAGGGGAAGACCCTCCCAGGGAAAATGACTGGCTACCCAGAGCAGATGTTAGGAGTGAGCCAGGCATGTTGAAGAAACAGTAAGGAACATAAAGAGTGGAACAATAAGGCAAAGGGAAAAGTAGTAGGAGATGGAGACAGAAAGGGCAGACCACGCACAGCCTACAACTACAGTATAAGTATTTATGGGTCACATGCTATATCCAGACACCATTCAAGATCCTTGGATCTTCTGTGATGAAAGCAAATACTCAGTAAGTAAACACAAAAACTACCCAACACCAAGACTCTAGAGATGACTCAGCTGACAGAGTGCTTGCCGAGTAAGCACGAGGACTTGAGTTCAGTCCCACACACCCACGTGAAAAGGCAAGGGCACACCTGTAATCCCAGGGCTGGGAAGATAGGGACAGGAAGTTCCCTGGGACTTGCTGGTCAGCTAGTCTTGCCAAATTGGTGAGAGATAGATTTAGTAATAGGCTGTGTCTTTAAAGTAAAATATGTGGAGGACTAGTAAAAGGACTCAGTGTGGAAAGGCACCTGCCACCAAGCCTATGACCCACAAGGTCACCAAGTTTGATCCCGGGGGCCCACGGGATGAAAGGGAGGACTGACTCCTGAAAGCTATCCTCTGACTTCCATGTGCAAGTTGTGGTACAAGCCTGTGCTCATATATACAAATACACATGCCTGCACTAATAAATAAAATGTAGCTTTTTAAGAAAGGAAACCATCCAGCACCACTTTGCTGAGAATGTAATAAGCTATAATAGGATATCAAGGAGAGGTAATGTCAGCTATGAAAATACTATCTAGAAGTGGAGATTAGGTTGTGCAGAGGTTTTCTTTTTTTGGGGTGGGGAGTGGTTGTTTGTTTGTCTTCTCTTAAGGTTGAAGATATCCAAGAGGCTAAGGCAGAAGGATCACTGCCAGTTCCAAGCTAGCCTGTATTTCAGTGTGAGACCTTGTCTCAAATGGAAACATAGATGAAGATACTGGGAAATATGACTTTGCTTACTTTCAGAGGTAGAAAATGGAGACACTTGAAAAAAGGAGGAAATAGTAGTTGTAAGTCCTTGACAGTACTGAGATGCTGAGCCCAAGGGAAGAGGTAACAGCATCTAGAAGCAGACGTACTCATCCGTGCCAGCCAAAAGGAGACGGGGGAGTATGAGTTAGGTGCCAGAGGTTTGGTAATTATGTGAGGGTGCTTCTATCTGCCTCTGGATGAAGAGAGGTTCAGAGCTCAGTAATTAATCATGTGGGCTTTGAAACCACAGCACAGTAGCACAGTCCTGCACCATATAACAGCATTTGGCCCACAGAAGACAGGGCATATAGGATGGTGTTCCCCTGAGATTACAACACAGCTAAGCTAGGAAGTTCCCATTAGGTAATGGTGTTAAGACTATCATAATGGCATAGTCCAGACACTTTGCTGTGTTTGTAGCAATGCTGGTATAAGTAAATTTATACTGTCAGGGCTACTTGTAGCTTATACAATAATGTACACTATGTAAGCTTGACAGCGGTAGACAATATGTCATGGGTTATGTAGTCACTATATTCCCAATCACTATTTTAGAGTGTACTCCTCATTGAAAATGAAAAGCTGGGTGTGGTGGTTCACTGGCGGAACATCGGTGAAAGGCAGGTGGATTGCTGTGAGTTTGAGGCCAACTTAGGCTGAAAAGTGAGTTCCAACTCTGCTTGGGCTAGATAATGAAACCTTGACTCAAAAAAGGGGGGGGGTGAGAGATAACTAAAGCAGCCTCAGGCAAGTCCGGGAGAAATACAGCTGTCGGCTCCATGTGCAGTATCTCTGAAGACTTTGCAGTGGACCAGGCATTGGAGTGGAAGACAAAGATACTGATAGTCTTACTCTAGCATAAATGATCTGTTATGGTTTAGGGGTGAAAGGTCCTCCACAAGATAACGTTTGAAAACTTGGTCTTCAGCTAGTTGTGCCATTTTGGAAGCTTGTGGGACATTCGGGTGAGGCCTAGCTCAGGCAGTGGAACATTGGCTTACAGACCGGATGGGTTATGGCCAGCCTCTGTTCCAGCTGAACATTCTACTTCCTGGTCCACGAAGATGTGGAGGAGTCCCATCCCCATGCCCCCTCCGCTTTCGCACTATGATGAACGGTAGCCCTTCAGACCGTGAACCAAAACCAATTTTCCCTCCCATAAGTTGCTTCTGGTCTAGTGTTTGGTCACAGTGACTAGAAAAGTAACTGATATATAGTCTGTACTGTAGAATTTAAGTGTGTCGGATGCCATCTAGGTTTATATAAGTCTGTTTGGACAATGATGAAATAAACGAATGACCTGTTGTTTCTCAGAAAGAATCCTATTATGAAATGGAAATGAAAACTACTTTGAGATTCCATCTCACCCCAGTCAAAATGGTTACCATCAAGAAGACAAATGACAAGAGATGCTGGTGAGTGGGGGGCGGGGAGAAGAACCCTTATTCGGTGTTGGTGAGAATGTAAACTGATGGTGCCACCATGGGAATCGGTATGGCGATTTCTCCCAAATTAAAAACAGAACTACCAAACCAGGGTTGGTGGCACATGCCTTGAATTTCCACCACTCCTGAAGCAGAGGAGGGCAGATTTCTCTGGGTTGGAGACTAACCTGTTCTACCCAACTAGTTCCAAGTCAGCTAGAGTTATAGAGTGAAGCTCTCTCTCAAAAGAAATGATAGGATTACCATGTGACCATACTGCTCATAGGGATATACCCAAAGAGCTCTAAATGTTACCACAGAGACACTTTCACTTCCATGTTAGTGCTGCACTGTTCACAGTGTGAAGAAAATGGAATCAGCCTACATGCCCATCAATAGACATGAACAGATACTGAGCAAGTACATATACACAATGAAATTTTATTCTGCAATTAAAAAAAAATGAGGGTTGGGGAGATTGTACTTGTTGTCACGCCTGACAACCTGAGTTTATCTGCCAGAGTATAGACATATAAAACTGACTCACACCGGTTGTTCTCTGACTTTCACACCCATGCCATGGCACAGGCATATGCACATACACACACACGCGTGCACACAATATACACACACACTCTCAATAATAAGTGTGAGGAAAAATGAAATTTCCAGCAAAGTGGGTGGATCTAGAAATCTTCCTTAAAAGAGATAATCCAGACTCAGAAAGACAAATACCACATGTTCTCTCTCATGTGTGTTTCCTAGATTTTAATTTTCATGCATGTATGTAAGCATCTGTGGGTACGGATATGGATAATAATACTAGAAAGGGGACCATGGCCAGGTTAAGAAAGGGGAAGTGAGGAAAGAGAGTAACAGAATATACATGAAAATAGAAAGAGAACTACTTCCAGGAGGAAGGATTCAAGGTAGGGAGTGGGGAAGAGAAGGGAGGAGAGAAGACCAATAGAAATAAAGTATGTGTGCATGTTTGCCTAGCATGCACAAAGCCCTGGCTCAGTCTTCGGCGCTGAGTAAATGAGGCATGATGCTGTGCCACTGTCATCCCAGCACTCAAGAGGTGGAGGCAGGAGGATCAGAAATTTAAGTCCAGGGTCTGCCTGGGCTAGAAACAGTGTCTCAAAACAGCAAACAAAAACAAAAACAGCTAGAATTAGAGCCAAATGTAGTGGCTCTAATGCTTGTAATGCCTGTAATATCAGTGCTTGGGAGGCAGAGGCAGGACTGCCATGAGTTGAATGCCAGCCTGGGCTTCGTGATAACTTCATTCCATGCTGCTATTCTGAGTGACAGAGTGAGATCTTACTTAAAAAAAAAAAAAGTCCCTCTTACCCTAGTCAAAAAGTAAGAATTAAGAGCTATGTATTTCTGAAATATCACACCCCAGCTGCAAGCTATGTTTGCATCATATGAGTTTTTTGAAAAATCCTTTGCGGGACTGGAGAACTACCTCAGTGACTAAGAGCACATACAGTGCTCACAGAAGCCCCAAACCCAGTTCTCGGAACTCAGTCTGGCCTCCTAACTAACTACCTTTAACTCCAGCTCCACGGCATCCGCGGCCCTTTTCTGGCCTCCTTAGGCATTGCACTCATGTGCACAAACCCATGCGAGTTTGTGTTCAGGCACACACATATACACACAATTAGAAACAGTTTTTAAATGCCTTAGACATAATATAAACAGTATCATCAACCTCTAAATCTGTCTTTGCTTTCCTCCGGGTCACCAGGCATTAGAAGGTTTTGCTTAGCTTCAGCTGTGAAAAGACAGATCAACAGGAAAAGGCAGGAGAAAGGGCTTGGCTCCTAAGACAAAGCATTTTGTCATGGGGAAGACATGCGGGTCTCATCCTGACATTCTTCTGTGACAGACCTTGCCTGACATGAAAAGGCAGCTGAAGTATAGAGGAAAAAGAAAATTAGACTCAGAGGCAAAAAGAAGAGACAATGCTAATCAATACACACTATAAACTCTCTGAGGACAGGAATCGAGGCTAAATACATCCTAGCACTTGGAGGATCAGTAATTGTTTTGTTTGGCGCTGGGCTTGTACTCAGGTATGCTAAGTCACTCTACCACTGCCGTACACTACTAGCTCAAAATGTAATTTAATTTGTGTTTTGCTTTACGTTTTTAAATAAAATATTTACTTTATTTAAGTATTTAAATTATTAAAGTATATAAAGTAAAATATTTATTTATTAATTATTTAAATAAAATAATTCTATTTTATGTTTTGTTATGTTGGAGGTCTTGCTATATACTGTAGGCTGGCCTTGAACTCATATCTTCCTGCCTCAGTCACCCAATTAGTGGAGAATGCAGGCCTGTACAAAAAAAAAAAACACCTTAATCCAGGATAAGACTTTTTAAAAGTGTGTGAGTGTGTGTGCACATACAGAGTGTGCATGCATGTGTATGTGCTGCTAAGAATTGAAGGTAGACCCTGTGCGTGCTAAACAAGTACTCTGCCACTAAGTTATAAAGTCCTAGCTCAAAATTAGATTTTTTTTTAATTTTAAGATCTATTGTGTGTGTGTGTGTGTGTGTGTGTGTGTGTGTGTGTGCGTGTATGTGCTAGTGCCCAAAGAGACCAGAGAGGTCACTGGATCCCTTGTAGCTGAGTTATGTATAGGCAGTTGTAAATGGCTCACTGTGGGTTCCGGGAAATAAACCCTGGTCCTCTAGAAGAACAGCAAGCACGCTTTATCTGTTGTGCCGTCTCTCCAGCCACTGAACTTCTATTTTTTTTAAAGATTTATTTATTTAGAGTATGTGTGTGTTGGTGTGTGTAGGGTAAGAGGTCCTTGAGCACACAGACAAGCACTGGAGAAGCCAGGAAGTTAAACACACAGGCCTGTCTCCTCAAAGGAAGGAGATGTTTACCCGTCTTCCTCCAAGAATGCTGGAAATGGATGTAGTTTGCAACTTGGTGATCTTTTGTTATCTGTAGGTCCAGACTTCACCCGAATTCCCAGAATATTGTTTGTTTCTTCCAGACGTCCCCCCACCTAGATCTTGAGCATTGCTTCTCAACCCACAAAACCCATCCTTGTGAGAGCTGTCACGTATGCTTTACAACAGCCTAGGTACTTCTGGGTTATCTTAAGGCCAGGTCACTCCTGACTCCACAGCCTTTGTGTTTACCTCAGTCATTCTCCCTAGACCTTTATCTTGAGCTTTGTTTCTGAGTCAACAGAACCCATCTTTATGGAAGAAGCCATGTGTACTTTGTGAAGAGTTTCAATGTAAACATGATTTAAGTTTGTTGTATACTTGGGACTGACTTCATTGTCATAAAGAATTTTTTTTTTCCAAAATCACGCTGTGCTTAAATAGGGCTAAAATAAACTACCTGGTGCCATACTCCAGAAACTTGGCCCAGCACCCGCTAATTAGGTCCTGCTGAACCGAGTTCCGCTCTTACCTCACCTAGATCATTTTCCTTCCGACTGTAACACTTTCAGGGACTCCCACATGTGTGTCTATGTCTGTAAGTACACATGTATGAGGGTGCCCATGTGTACACAGAGGTCAGAGGAGAGTTTGGATGAGTCCTAGTCATCCTCCTGTCTCCATCCCCTCAGAGCTGGGGTTACAGGCACGCCCTGGACACCGGGCTTGTTACATAGGTGCTGAAATTCCAGTCCTCTTGATTGCATAGCAAATACTGTTAACCGCTGAGTCATCTCTCTAGTTCCTCATGATGAGATTTTTTTTAATTTCTTTTTAAACCACCCTAGCAGCAAAACTGAAGCTGAAACGAGGAGAGGCAGACTTGAGATGAAGCAAGGTTGTAACATGTGCTGTAGTCCTAGCACCGACGAAGAATGCCACAAACGAGTTCTAAGCCAACCAGGGTTACATAGTGAGACCCTGTGTCAACAAAAAGCCAAGAAAGTAACAAGAGTCTAGGACTAGACAACCACAATAGGGACAGAAGGTGGTGAAGATATGCTACTGTATATGTATTCTGCATAATTAATTAACTTTGAGACTGTGTCTTCCATAGTTCAGGTTGTATTCAAACTGACATAAAGTGGAAGATGACCCTAAGCTCCTGCTCCAGAGGCTGCCAGCTTCCAAGAACTGAGATTAGAGGTTTTTGATAGCAAACTTTAATTCAGTTAAGGAATAGAATTCAGTGCTGTTTCTCTCATATTTGTGACTGAATAATCACACAAATGAGAGAAAGTAGCTGCTTTTTGTTTTGCTGGTGGTGGATCTCTGTCTGTGTACTGCTGGCTTATGGCATTCTTCGTTTAAGATAGTGTTTCCCTAAATAGCTCAGGCTGGCCTCAAACTGGAGACCATCTTCCTGTTTCAGCCCCGCTCCTCGACCACCCCTGAGTGCTGAAATTAAAGGTGTACACCACCATGCTTAGCGAAAGTGAACCTTTGTCTTACTGTGCCAGGCAAGGGCTATTTTGAGTCTTATGGTGTATTGTTGGTTTTTAATCCCCAGCCCCTACATGCTTTTTTTTCTTAAAGAAAGAACAAAAACAGCTTATGTTTTCTCAATAGGAAGTTTCCTTCCTGTGCACAACTGTTTAGAAATGAATGTGTGTTCATGCTCGTGCGTGTGTGTGTGTGTGTGTGTGTGTGTGTGTGTATGTGTTTCTAGGAGAAATGATTTGTGCCTTTTCCCCAGCCTTCAGTTCTTCAGTGTAGGTGCAAATTGTTCCACAGCGCAGTCTGTCAGTGCTGGCTTGAGCCCTTCTCTTCCTAAACTTGCCACCAACTGTTTTTTGTTATTGCTGTTATTGGTGTCATGTTCCTTAATTGGTATTTGTTGGCCATCAAATAAAACATGTCCAGAATGCTGCCTTCTTAAGAGAAAACATAGAAACCTACAAAAATGTAACTGACCTTAACTGGGTGTAAAGGAAACGGATCATGATCAAATGTGGGGACGGTAAAATAAGACAGCTGATTATTTTTGTCTGCAACCAGCAAGTGTAGCCGTA